CCAGAACCCCAGCAGACCATTCCCCAGGCCATAAAGCACCAAGAGGGATTGTGCATGGTCTGCGTGCAGGCTTTATCTCTGCCTTTTCCCATCCCACCCACTGATAATCTCCTGCCCTGGTGCAGTCACGATTTTAGAGCCATCAACAACTCTGTCATGGCTTTTGTCTTCCTTCCCAGGTGCCAGTACAAACCTGACAGCAGAGACAGATGTGGAGTCACTCCCTTTATGGATGCTGTCCAGAACGGGCATGTTGACATTGCCAGGCTGCTCCTGGAAAAACACCAGGTAGGTGCCAAAACCTCCCTCTTCCAGGGCCTGACCTAGAACTGCCAGGACAAGCAATCCAAGTGTTCACCGTGGCCAAATTGTAAAGAAGCAAATTCCCAAATAGTAAAGAAGTGAGTTTCCAAATTGTAAAGAAGCAAATTGTAGAAAAAAACCCAACACATTCCCTCTGGAGATGAGCAAGATGTTGCCATCTAATACCCCCAGGACTTGGTTTATGGGGAAGATCTCAGCCTGGGGCAGGAACATGTCCCCATAGCTGGTGAAGGGGATGGAGACACGAGGCAGTGGCAGGAGGGCACAGGACTTGCCTAGCACTGCAGGGTCAGCTGTGTCAAAGCCAACATGGGCACTTGAGAGTGCCAGGGCTCAGGGTGGATGACATGGAGGCATCTGGCTGTGCTGGAAGCAGCTCATCTCTGACCTCCCTCTCTCGTGACAGCTGCTGCTCCCAGGTTGTCTCCCAGTAATCTCCAATTTCCTCCAACATACAAGGCATAATAGGGATGTCATTAGAGTCAATTGTGCCCAGTAGGAACCAGAGCCTTGTGTTGTTTATTGACTGCAGAACTGATGGGAGATGTTTGGAGCTCACCTGATGGCTGGTTCTCAGAGATGTGCCTCCCTTCTGGGGCTAAACCTTTTAGCAGGGCCTGTAGTGACAGGATAAGGGGGCGTGATTTTTGTAGAATAAATCTTATGAGCACCTGAGGGTGTTGAGCCTGGAGCAAAGGAGGCTGAGGGGAGACCTTCTGGCTCTGCAGCTGCCTGAGAGGAGGTTGGAGCCAGGGGGGTCGGGCTCTGCTCCCCAGGAACAAGTGACAGGACAAGAGGGAACGGCCTCAAGTTGTGCCAGGGGAGGTTGAGGTTGGATCTGGGGAACAATTCCTGCCTGGCAAGGGTTGTCAGGGCCTGGCCCAGGCTGCCCAGGGCAGGGGGGGAGTCCCCATCCCTGGAGGGGTTTCCAAGCCCTGGAGATGTGGTGCTGGGGGACATGGTTTAAGCACTGGAATTGGTAAAGTTGGGTTAATGGTTGGCAGATTCAGGTTATGGTTGGACTTGATCTTTAATGTCTTTTCAACCAGAACAATTATGTGATTCCATTTTAAACTAAAAGAGGGGAGATTCAGTTTAGATATAATGAAGAATTTTTTTACACTGAAGATGGTGAGACCCTGGCCCAGGTTGCCCAGGGAAGCTGTGGCTGCCCCATCCCTGGCAGCATTGAAGGGCAGGTTGGATGGGGCTTGGAGCAACCTGGAATGGTGGGAGGTGTCCCTGCCCATGCAGGGGGGTTGGGACTGGATTATCTTGAAGGTCCCTCCTAACTCAAACCAGTCTGTGATTCTCAGCTCCTTTGCCCTCACTTTGCCTCCCCTTGCACCAGCCCTGATGTTCCTCAGATGCTGTCAAACTGGTGCAGCTCACTGGCCTGGCAGAAAGCTCACATGGCAAAAGCAGTGAGTGTGTTTGTGCCACGTTGGCAAGTTGAATTGGCCAGCTGAGCCCTCAGCATGGCAGAGGGCCCCTCAGAGTACGCCAGGGAATGTGATACCACACTTCTCAAGGTCACAGGCTTTGGATTTTACTCAGCCATAACATGTAGCCTCACCCAGCAGAGAAGGTTTGATGCCCAGGGTGTGTTCAAGTGTGTAGGTGCTTCTTGACTTCAGGAGACATTCATGTGCTTGTCTTCACTCATTTGGCCCTTTAGGATAAAACATTTGTGGAGTTTGCTTATGTCTTTGGTCTCACATTTCAGGCAATGAAGATGGAAGGAGGTGATTTAATTTCCTCCCTGTGGTGCTGTGGCTTACTGCCATGAAGCAGCACTGGAAGTGCTAACAGCAGCATTGCTACCTCCTAGGGTTCATAAAACCTTGAGTCAGGCCCACTTGACTTCAAGAAGGTGGATTATATCCTCTTGAGTGGATTTCTCTAGTATTACTCCTGTTACCCTTCTTGGTTTTATGTCTTGGGTGGTTCATGTTCAGAGGCTGGCAGAAGAGATCTCTTGAGGTCACCCACCTCTCTCCCTCCCTCTGCCTGTGTCCAAATTCTGCTCCACCAGCACACAGGTTGGAGATAGGTGATTTCTTGCTGCTTTGAAGAGTTGAAGCCCATCATACATGTTTCAGCTGAAGAGAGAGGGGGTTTGGTTCTTCTTTTTTGGTACCAGTTTTGCTTCTTACTTCATAACCTCAACAACCTGGCTCTGATCTGCAAATCACGGTGCTGCCAACGGCACCGGCCCTGCTGGTGACATCCCATGTGTTCACTGCTGTCACTGTGGCAAGCAGACACAATTCTCCTTGGGCCAGTGACTGTCCTTGAAGGTTTGGCCAGGCTGCTCATAGCTTTCCCTTTCCCTCCTCCCCCATTCCAGGCCTGTCCTACAGCCGTGGATGCGCTGGGCGCTCAGCCCCTGCACCGGGCAGCTGTCACAGCCCAGGATGAAGCCATCCAGTTCCTTGTCTCTGACCTGGGTGTGGATGTCAATGAGAGGGTGACAACCCTCCAGCTCACAGCACTACACTACGCAGCCAAGGTTTGTCCCTCTTCTCAGCCTTGGGAAAAACCTGTGCCACTTGGTGTGCTACAGGCAGGCATGGTGCGGCCTGGAGAAGAGAAGGCTCCAGGGAGACCTTAGGGCACCTTCCAGTGCCTGAAGGAGCTCCAGGAAAGCTGGGGAGGGACCTGGGACAAGGGCAGGGAGGGATGGTATGAGGGGGAAGGGTTTCCAGCTGGAAGAGGGAGCTGGAGATGAGATACGAGGAGGAAAATCTTCCCCGTGAGGGTAGGGAGACCCTGGCCCAGGTTGCTCAGAGAAGCTGTGGCTGCCCCATCCCTGGCAGTGTTGAAGGGCAGGTTGGATGGGGCTTGGAGCAGCCTGGGCTGGTGGGAGGTGTCCCTGCCCATGGCAGTGGTGGGACTGGATGAGCTTTAAGGTTCCTTCCAAACCATTCTGTAATTCTGTGATCTAAAACAGGGTGGTTTAGATGTTTGCCACTGATGGAGGAATCTTAGCTCATGCTCTGTCACTGTCTTTCTGCTCCTGACCAGTCCCATACTCTGGTTAATGATTTTTAGGCAGCAAGTGTTTGTCTTCATAGGCTGGATCCTGGCCTGCCCATGACCAGATGTGAAAAAGAAGAGGTGGGAAGGTGGGGGGAGTTCCTGGGTGCTTATCTATGTCCTTCACACAGGAGCTGTTTTGAATTCCAGGCAGTGAGAGTTGTTTGGGCTTTGTCCTCCTCCCATCTCATTGGGAAGCAGGATCTTGTGGGCTCTGAGTCCTACAACACTCCCTGGGAGTGCAGAGCACATCCCAAAAACCTCACTGCTCACCAGGAGCTCTGCTGGGACCCTGCTGCCTCCCTTCTGCTTGGTGCTGTTGTGCCATGGTGTGCAACCCACTGGCAGCTGGAAACAGGGGAAGGTCCCTGCTCAGATCCCTGCGTGTTCAACCTCTGGCTGCACTGGCAGCCCAAAAACCACCCTGTCCTGGGCTGTCACCAGCAGGGTGACAGGGTCACCTCTGGGATCCCCAACACAGGAAGGACATGGAGCTGTTGGAGAGAGGCCAGAGGAGGCCCTGGAGATGCTGGGAGGGCTGGAGCAGCTCTGCTCTGGAGCCAGGCTGGGAGAGTTGGGGTGTTGAGCCTGGAGAAGAGAAGGCTCCAGGGAGACCTTAGAGCAGCTTCCAGTGCCTGAAGGGGCTCCAGGAAAGCTGGGGAGGGACTTGGGACAAGGACAGGGAGGGATGGGATGAGGAGGGAATGGGTTTAAACTCAGAGAGGGGAGATTGAGATGAGGTTTTAGGAAGAAATTAATTGTGAGGGTGGGGAGAGCCTGGCCCAGGTTGCCCAGAGAAGCTGTGGCTGCCCCATCCCTGGCAGTGTTGAAGGGCAGGTTGGATGGGGCTTGGAGCAGCCTGGTCTGGTGGGAGGTGTCCCTGCCCATGCAGGGGGTTGAACCTAGATGATCTTTAAGATCCCTTGCAACCCAAGCCAGCCTGTGATTCTGTGAGCTTTAACATACTGCTCTCAGAGCCTGCTCTGGGCTTGCAGTGGGAATGAAGCAGCATCCCAGCTCCGTGCTCCTACAAAAGCATCAATGACACTGGGAGTGCTGGGAACAGTATTCTCCTCCAGCAGGACTCAGCCGTGGCATTTGCTGGCTCCCACAAAGGAGGCCTTTCTCCCAGCTTCCCTTCCTCATGCTTGGAGAAACCATGTTGAAAGCCCTTTTGGTTGCCAAGGGTACGTTTGACAGCAAGGCTTTTGGGGAATATAATGTGCCTTGGAGAAGATCCCAACTCTGTTCTGGCAAGTGGCTGATGGGGGAGCAATTTGATGGGTTTCTCTTCCTTCCCAAGGCTCAGTGTCACTTTATATTTACAGCATCATTTGTTTGGCTGGTGGGGTTTGTTGCCTTTTTTTTTTGCCTTCTTTCCTTATTACTTTGCATTTATAAATACATGGAAATCAAATTACACTTTTCAACTCAATTTGCTGCCAAGGCTGTGGCAGCTAAAGCAGTTCCTGGCTTGGTGTCTGTGCCACTGGGAGGGGTTGGTGTGTGCAGCAGGGAAATGGGAGCCTTGAGTAAGGGGGAAAGATGCTACTGAGTTGTAGGATAATGGGGTAGAAGAGTGGGTTGGTGGGGATAAAAATAAATAACAAAGAGCCTTCCATTCTCAGGCTGTGTGACAAAGGGTAATTCATTGCACTGCAGAAGTAATTACAAAATCAGGCGTGTTATTTAGGGAGAGAGGATTTATTTATGGAGAAGCTTTGTGCAGAGAGGAGGGGGGTGGGGGCTGTGTTGCATTTCCCCCTGTGGCATTTAAAATTGGATACTGGTGGAGGAAAGATAGAGGACACTGGGGGTCGTGGGGGTGTGGAAGTGGGATGTTCTGTATCTCCTCACAGGGCTTTGCAAATCTTGGAGTAATCTTTTAGGAAGTGCTGGTGCCTGAGAGTGCCACAGGCAGATCAGGCACAACAGACCCCAGCAGCAGCAGGTTCTGCTCTTGGAGCTGAAATATGCCTCAGTAAGAGGAACTCTGCATCCCTGTGGTACTTGGGGTGTATTTGTAGTGTAGGAAAACACACATTTAGTCCTTCTAACAGGCATCTGCCAACGATGGAAGGTAGGTCAGGGATCCTGCACCTCTGTGAGCAGCTGAAGTTAAAAGCAATTTAACTGGGTGACTTGATTGGAGGTGAGGACTGGAGAGGCAAAGGCAAGATGGGCTGACAAATTAGTGTGCTAATTTGCCATTGGGAAACATCTTTGGGTTGTGTCACCCTGTTGTCAGAGGTCATTTGTGCACTGGTGCCTCCACAGCCACTCTGGGAGACAGTCCTCCAAATTCCTCACTTCTCCAAGCCCTGGCTGTGTGAGGGGGATGGATTGACTGCCATCAGGAAGATCCTGTGGAATCTATAGTGGTCCAAAAGCAGATCCATCTGCCAGGGTCTGGACTGGGTTATGTGCCTCTTCCCTCAGTCTTTGGCTGTGTCACCACCAGAGACAGCTCTGCACTGTACTGTGATATGAAGCACTGCTGGCCTTAATTGAACATGATTGATTTTAAAACACAGTGTTAAATGTTTGCAGAGGGAATGATGCTCCTGGGGTGCCTCTTGTGGCTTTTTCAGCCTCTGGGTTGAAATTGCTGCCAGGGGCACACCAGGCAAGCAGACACACTAACTGAGGGCCAGCAGAAGGGCTGGAGAAGGTGCCTGGTGGCACCTCTCTAGCCAGTTCCTGGGAGGTGACAGCAGGGAGTCTGCTTTGCCTGGGCAGTCCCTGGCTAATGCTGCACTGCAACAAGCAGCCAACCATGATTTCCAGCTGCTGCAAGGTCATCAGCTGGAAGCAGCTCCGGGTAGCTCCAGATTAGACCCTGGCAATGTGGATCTGAGTCTGTTCCCTCCAGGTGCTGTGTTCAGGTAGGGGCAGATCCCTTGCAGCCTCCTTTCTTTTCAAGTCTGTGTCATTTCTGCTGAATGCAAAGGTGAGAAACTGCAGAGCTGAATAAATAATCCCGTGTCTGTGCTCACACTGCAGGAAGGACACACACACACCATCCAGAGGCTGCTGTCCCTCGGTGCTGATCTGCAGGCAAAGGATGGGAAGAGCCGTTCTGGTAAGGCTGCTGAGCTGTTGTTCCTGCTCCGTGTGACAGCAGGAGGGCCCTTTACTAACAGGAGCCCTTTGCTACAAGAGCCCTTATTAACAGGATCCCTCCCCTAACAGGATCCCTCCCTGACGGGATCCCTTCCCTAACACAATCCCTCCCCTAACACAATCTTTCCCCTATCAAGATCCCTTCCCTATCAGATTCCCTTCCCTAACAGGATCTCTCCCCTAACAGAAACGTTTCCCTAACAGGATTCCTACCCTAACAGGATCCTTCCCCTATCAGGATCCCTTCCATGCCACATTCCCTCCTCTAACACAATCCTTCCCCAGTCAGAATCCCTCCCCTAACAGGATCTCCCCCCTAACAGGATCCCTTCCCTAACAGGATCCTTTCCCTAACAGGATCCTTTCCCTATCAGGATCCCTTCCCTAACAGGATCCCTTCCCTAACAGGATCCTTTCCCTATCGGGATTCCTTCCTTAACAGGATCCCTCCCCTAACAGGATCCCAGCCTCCAACCCCGCTGGACATGTCAGGCAATGCCAGCTGCTCATATGCAAAAGGCTCCTGGAGCAGCATGTCATGGAAAGCCTGGGTTGTTTTGGTGGGGTTTTTTTGCAGCTTTCATTCACTGGCTTTCTTCCTGATGGACTTTCTGATGTCTAATGGTGTGGTTGAGCCTGCACTGAGGCCTTTCCCTTGGGGGAAGAACAGATGCTAATTGCTGTTTCTCTCTACCCAGCTGCTTATTTTGCATGGAACTTTCAGGAGTTTCATATCCGTCCTTCTGCCTCACCATCATTTATCATAGAATAGAGTCACAGAATCATTGTGGTTGGAGCTGAGCTTTAAGATCACCCAGCTCAACTGTCCCCCCAACCCTGCCAAGGTCACCGCTGCCTCATGTTCCCCAGCACAACATCTCCAGGGCTTGGAAACCCCTCCAGGGATGGGGACTCCCCCCCTGCCCTGGGCAGCCTGGGCCAGAGCCTGACAACCCTTGCCAGGCAGGAATTGGCTGAATGCAAAGGTGAGAAACTGCAGAGCTGAATAAATAATCCCGTGTCTGTGCTCACACTGCAGGAAGGACACACACACACCATCCAGAGGCTGCTGTCCCTCGGTGCTGATCTGCAGGCAAAGGATGGGAAGAGCCGTTCTGGTAAGGCTGCTGAGCTGTTGTTCCTGCTCCGTGTGACAGCAGGAGGGCCCTTTACTAACAGGAGCCCTTTGCTACAAGAGCCCTTATTAACAGGATCCCTCCCCTAACAGGATCCCTCCCTGACGGGATCCCTTCCCTAACACAATCCCTCCCCTAACACAATCTTTCCCCTATCAAGATCCCTTCCCTATCAGATTCCCTTCCCTAACAGGATCTCTCCCCTAACAGGATCCTTTCCCTAACGGGATCCCTCCCCTAACAGGATCCTTTCCCTAACAGAAACGTTTCCCTAACAGGATTCCTACCCTAACAGGATCCTTCCCCTATCAGGATCCCTTCCATGCCACATTCCCTCCTCTAACACAATCCTTCCCCAGTCAGAATCCCTCCCCTAACAGGATCTCCCCCCTAACAGGATCCTTTCCCTAACAGGATCCTTTCCCTAACAGGATCCTTTCCCTATCAGGATCCCTTCCCTAACAGGATCCCTTCCCTAACAGGATCCTTTCCCTATCGGGATTCCTTCCTTAACAGGATCCCTCCCCTAACAGGATCCCAGCCTCCAACCCCGCTGGACATGTCAGGCAATGCCAGCTGCTCATATGCAAAAGGCTCCTGGAGCAGCATGTCATGGAAAGCCTGGGTTGTTTTGGTGGGGTTTTTTTGCAGCTTTCATTCACTGGCTTTCTTCCTGATGGACTTTCTGATGTCTAATGGTGTGGTTGAGCCTGCACTGAGGCCTTTCCCTTGGGGGAAGAACAGATGCTAATTGCTGTTTCTCTCTACCCAGCTGCTTATTTTGCATGGAACTTTCAGGAGTTTCATATCCGTCCTTCTGCCTCACCATCATTTATCATAGAATAGAGTCACAGAATCATTGTGGTTGGAGCTGAGCTTTAAGATCACCCAGCTCAACTGTCCCCCCAACCCTGCCAAGGTCACCGCTGCCTCATGTTCCCCAGCACAACATCTCCAGGGCTTGGAAACCCCTCCAGGGATGGGGACTCCCCCCCTGCCCTGGGCAGCCTGGGCCAGGCCCTGACAACCCTTGCCAGGCAGGAATTGCTCCCCAGATCCAACCTCAACCTCCCCTGGCACAACTTGAGGCCGTTCCCTCTTGTCCTGTCCCTTGTTCCTGGGGAGCAGAGCCCGACCCCCCTGGCTCCAACCTCCTCTCAGGCAGCTGCAGAGCCAGAAGGTCTCCCCTTAGCCTCTTTTGCTCCAGGCTCAACACCCCGAGCTCCCTCAGCTGCTCCTCAGCTGACTTGTGCTCTAGACCCTTCCCCAGCTTCATTCCCCCATCCCTGGCAGTGTTGAAGGGCAGGTTGGATGGGGCTTGGAGCAGCCTGGGCTGGTGGGAGGTGTCCCTGCCCATGCAGGGGGGTTGAAACAAGATTATCTTTAAGGTCCCATTCTACAATTATTTGGACACACTTAGAAATTTGCTTGCAATTAGCCAGCTTTAAATGGTCAGGTTAGGGTGGGCAGACAAATACAAGGATTGCACAAGGTCTTCAGCTTCCTTAACAAACCAGGATTGGCTTCTGAGCAAATAATAACAGAGCTTGAACGTAAATATAGTTGCTATAGTAATGCCAGTGAGTTGCTATTCCCAGCGTGAGTCTGAGGCATCTCTTGCATCAGCATCTCTCTCTTTCAAATAAAAAGTCTATTGAAATGGTTTCAGCTATTGCCAAAATTGGCAACTTACCCAGTCTTTAGGCTTGCTTAATAACACGCTCCACTGGACAGCATGAGCAGTCTTGTACCTCTCTTGATCTCTCCCTCCACCCCCTCAGTGAGTAAATCCGAGCTGTGCTCACCTCTGCCAACCCTGGGACATTTGTGGGGGCTCCTCACACCCCTTGTCTGCCCTGTTCCCCCAGCACCTTTGCTGTGTTAGTGTCACTGCATCCTGGGGAGCTTCTCACACAGACTCTGCTCCTGCCAAGTGTCCTGTGTGGATTATCCATGGAGATCAGGATGCCTCATGGTCAACATCAGCCTGCAGCAGGAGCCAACAGCCCTCAGTGAAAAAGATACTCCTCCCTGGGCAGGGTTAGGTCAGGAGATCAGGGCTGGCTCACCTTGCTGCATCATCCAGGTGTATCAGGACTGCCTAACCGTGCTGGTGCTGCATGGGATCAGGGTGGTGGCAGTTGGAGAGGTCTGTGGGATAAGCTGGGGATTGGGCTGGAGTATTTCAGCTTCCTCCTGTGGGTTGATCTTTGCTCCATGCAGTGGAGACCTTTCTAAGTTACTGCCTGACCCTGAGTGAGCTGGGTCTGGGACTAAATCTCCACCAAGGACCCTGGTCACATCCAGATTAGTTTCAAGCCCCTCTCTTGCATGTCACAATGAAATTCACCTCAAACACAGGGCCTGGAGGCCTTCTGCTCTATCCCACAGCCTCCTCCCCCTGCTGTGGGCACCCTCTGCCCATGACTCAGCTTAAATACTCCCAATATGTTCACAAACCTGGTAAGCTTTGGCTAAGTGTTTTGGAGGGACTAGTAACCTGTGAGGGGGAGATGAGGATAATGGCTGGGGTGAGTCGGGCTGATCCTTTTCCTACCAGCATGGCTGGGTGTGGAAGAGGAAGGGTCCCCTTGGACAGGTTTAATCCTCCCGTGGCTGCTGGAGAAACGTGTGGCCACAGCACCTGAGCCCTGCTGTGCCATCACAGGGCTACCTGGCTGGGTGTTGCAGCTGTGGGGCCAGCAGGAGCAGGGCAGGGATAGTCCCCCTGTGCTGGGCTCTGGTCAGGCCCCACCTCAAATCCTGGGGTCAGAGCTGGGCCCCTCAGGACAAGAAGGACCTGGAGGGGCTGGAGCGTGTCCAGGGAAGGGCCCCGGAGCTGGGGAAGGGGCTGGAGCAGAAGGAGAAGGGGCTGGAGAACTTGTGAGGAGCAGCTGAGGGAGCTGGGGGTGTTGAGCCTGAAGCAAAGGAGGCTGAGGGGAGACCTGGCTCTGCAGCTGCCTGAGAGGAGGTTGGAGCCAGGGGGGTCGGGCTCTGCTCCCCAGGAACAAGCGACAGGACAAGAGGGAACAGCCTCAAGTTGTGCCAGGGGAGGTTGAGGTTGGATCTGGGGAACAATTCCTGCCTGGCAAGGGTTGTCAGGGCCTGGCCCAGGCTGCCCAGGGCAGGGGGGGAGTCCCCATCCCTGGAGGGGTTTCCAAACCCTGGAGATGTGGTTTAAGCACTGGACTTGGTAGAGCTGGGTTAATGGTTGGCCAAGTCAGGTTATGTTTGGACTCAATGATCTTAAAGGTCTTTTCCAACCAGAGCGATTCTGTGAACCGGGAAAACTCAACTTCCACCCTGAGTGCATCCCCTCTGCCCACTCCTTTTCTTTCCCTGGAAATCTAACAATTGCACCTGAAGTGGGTGAGGCTGGAATCTCCAGCTGATCTCACCTCCTGTCTCCCCATCTTGTCTCCCCAGCCCTGCACGCAGCCTGTGCCGGGCAGCAGGCGGCTGCCGCACAGGTCCTGCTCCAGGCCGGGCTGCGCGACGCTCCTGATGGCACGGGCACACTGGCACAGCAGCTTGCCAGGAAGCCAGATGTCATCCAGGTTTTCCAGGAAACCAGTGTCAGCACCTGAGACCAACTGGGAAAAAGAGAAACACGTTTCACTTCATCAAGGTACGTTAGTTTATCCCGTAAATGGTCAGATTTAGGCAAGTACCTAAATGATGGGATTTTTGGCCGAGGATTGAGTGGAGAAGCTGAGCTCGAGACTTGGGAAGTGTGTTTAGGAGAAGGCATGTTTTAAATGGAATTCTCTCCAAGAGCTAATGGACATGAAAAGCATATTTTAAATAGGATTATCCCAAAAAGAGAACGGGTGTAAATGGGTCTGGGCTGTCTTGTTCTGGTACTGATCTCGTCTTTGTAAATTCATGGCTGCTTTTCTTTCAGTTCCAAATTTCAGGGCTGAACTTCACCTCTTCTTGTGCAGCACCCAGGACAACAAACAGCTCAGGTGACAGCACCCTGAAGTTTACCATCCAAGGAAGGTGCCCCGTGGGCCACTGCTGGATGACCTCTGCAGGCCTGCATGGCTTGAACCCACTGAAGCCTGCACAGCTCCTGATGAGATGTTTCCATACAATGGACATCCTGAAGGAGAAGATACACCTGGACTGTTGATTCTTCTGGCCTTTAATGGACCTGCTCTTCACTAAGCTCTGCAGCTGCTTTAAGTGGCCACCTCTTTTGGTAGCCCCTGAGAGAGGGTAAGTGCAAAAGATCCCTTGGTGACTCTTCCTTCATCAGGTTTGAGCTGCAGAGGACAAGTTCAGGGAGTCTTCAAGTAGCATCAACCTCTGAGGTCCTTTTTGTGGCCCAAGCCTGATCCCAAAACTTGCTGAAACCAATAATAAAACCTCAACCTTGTGATGACATCAAGGGTCTTTGGATCAGACTGAAAAAAGAAAAGAAGTATTATTCCACACAGACACAAAGTGAACTTAAATAAAAATCCTGCTCTTGGTCAGTGTCCCCCTGGCCTTGTTTCTCCATCTGTAAAGAAGGTTCTTCTCCACCAGGAAGGAAAAACAAATTAGTGCTGGATGGCACTAATGGTGCAGGGTGGTAGGAGCTGTGTTAGCCCCTGGGCAGGTGAGGAAGTGGCTTTAGAGATCCTGAATCCTTCCATAAATCTATCCCTGGCCTGGAAAAAGGGATATGAAGACAGGCTGGGAGAGTTGGGGTGTTCAGCATGGAGAGGAGAAGGCTCCAGGGAGACCTTAGAGCAGCTTCCAGTGCCTGAAGGGGCTCCAGGAAAGCTGGGGAGGGGCTTTTCATCAGAGAAGACAGTGATAGAACAAGGGGTGATGGTTTGAAACTGAGAGAGGGGAGATTTAGGTGAGATATTAGGAAGAAATTATTCACTCTAAGGTTGGTGAGGAACTGGAATGGATTGCCCAGGGAGGTTGTTGATGCCCCATCCCTGGAGGTTTTTAAGGCCAGGTTGGAGGAGGTTTTGTGCAACCTGGTCTAGTGGTTCCCTGCTCATGGCAGGGGGGTTGGAACTTGGTGATGTTTAAGGTCCATTCCAACCTTAACAATTCTCTGATTCTATGTATACTACAGCCTGGTAAATGCAAGGGGCTGCTTTATTCCCACTTCCCATGATTTTAGCAAGCTATGAAATAGCCATTCCATTCTGATATTCCTGCTAAGGAGCTCAAGATTATTTGTGAGTCTGAGCTTCGAGGAGAAAGCAAGTGAGAATGTTTTGCTGAGCCTGTTTCTAGTTCTCCTGGCCGTGGCATTTGGGGAATTTGCCTGATTTTTTAAGGTGCTCTAGGATTTCTGGAAAACTTCTGGAAAGTAGCAAAGGGCTTGTCTGCCTGGAACTGGGAGCACAGGCACTGCACTCCCATCCAAAAGTGAGACCTACTGGCAGGTCTCCAGCTCTGCCTTTTTATTCACCCTTCTCTGAAACCTGCCCCTCAGGCAAGAAAAAACAGCAGGTACCAAAGGATGTTGGGAAAGGAAGGTGGTGGATTCCACTTGTTGCCTCCCAGATCAGCCCCAGGAAGAGCCCCTTGTTGTCTTTCCTGATGTTTTTGCTGTTGCTCTCTCCCTGCAAGGTAGGAGCAGGGGAGAGGGTCAGGACACCTTTGTGTGGCCACAGGAAGGTGTGTGGGAGGTGCTTGGTGTCTGCAAACCCCCCGGGGCATTCCCAGCAGGCTGCAGACTCCTGGTCCCTGCGGAGGAAGCCCAGGAGCCTGGCTTGGTCTCCATGCCACAGTGAAGGCAGCTTGGAGCAGAGCCTGGCAGCTGGAACAGGGCTCCACCACTGTCCTGTTAGCCCACCTCTTCCAGCCTCAGCACCCCCACAGGCTGGAGATCCTGCAGCCACGGGGAAGATCGAGTGTCTTTATCTTGTAGGATCCAATCCCCCTGCACAGGCAGGGACACCTCCCACCATTCCAGGCTGCTCCAAGCCCCATCCAACCTGCCCTTCAACACTGCCAGGGATGGGGCAGCCACAGATTCCCTGGGCAACCTGGGCCAGGGTCTCCCCACCCTCACAGCCCAGAATTGCTCCCTCACATCTCAGCTCCAGCTCCCTCTGCCAGCTGGAAACCCTTCCCCCTGCTCCCATCCCTCCCTGCCCTTGTCCCAGGTCCCTCCCCAGCTTTCCTGGAGCCCCTTCAGGCACTGGAAGCTGCTCTAAGGTCTCCCTGGAGCCTTCTCTTCTCCAGGCTCAACACTCCAACTCTCCCAGCCTGTCTCCAGAGCTGCTCCAGTCCTCCCAGCATCTCTGTGGCCTCCTCTGGACTCTCTCCAACAGCTCCATGTCCTTCTGGTGTTGGGGACCCCAGAGGTGGCCCCAGCCCTGCAGGGGGGTCTCAGTAGAGCAGAGGGGACAATCCCCCCCTCCCTGGCCCTGCTGGTCACCCTGCTGGTGACAGCCCAGGACACACAGGGTGGTTTCTGGGCTCCAGCACACGGTGCCAGCTCCTGTTGAGCTTCTCCTCACCCAACACCCCCAAGTCCTTCTCCTCAGGGTTTCTCTCCATCCATTCTCCACCCAGCCTGGGTCTGTGCTTGGGATTGCCCCCACCCATGGGCAAGATCTTGCACGTGTCCTTGTTGAACTCCATGAGGTTGGCATGGACCCATCTCTTGTTTCAGCCCCGTGATGGAACTTCTCCTGGTTCTCTCCATCCATCCCTGCCGTGCTGCTCTCTGTGCTGTGTGTCCTGGTAGATACAGGGGACTGAGACATATGATTAAATTAAGACATTTTAAGCCCTTTGGGTGTCTAATCCACACTGGCAGCCCCGAGGTGCCTAAGCAGCTTTGCTGTGACCACTGCAAGACGTGCTCCCTTTCCCTTGGAGATGCAGATCCACAGGGTGGTAAAACCAGGGAAATTCCTGCCTCGCTTCAAGGAAATAGTAGAGAGGATTAACCAGAAAAGCCCCCCAAAATCCCAGACCTTCTCGTGGTTGGAGGAAGGGGGGGGGGGAGAGAAGTTTGCATTCAGTTCTCAGCCTGTTTTGGGGTGAAAAGAGGGGGAAATGCAGCGCGTGCGAGAAGTGAAACCCGCGTGTGGGAAGTGGGGAAAAGACACCGTAATTAGCCTCATTTGGCTGCCGGGTTAATGATAGATGAAGTGGCTGCTGTGAAAGGCACCTTCCCGCACCCGTGGGTGCAGCGTGAGTGTCTCCAACCCACCCCGGCCGCCAACCAGGAGGGGCAACTGCGTGTGCAACGGGTGCCCCTCCTGCTTGCACACCCTTGT